CCCTCCCCGCCGCCATCCATTCCAAACGGCTCCGGGCCGCACAGGGGCGCAAATGAGCCCCGCCGTGCGTGAAGCTCAGACACTTTCCTTGGGACCTCACCGTGCCCCCCCCCTTCCACGCAAGTACACTCGCCGGCATCCAAACCCAGGCATGCGACGCCCCGATGCCTTCGATGCGGGGCCCCTGGACATCCCGACCCTTTCCCCATGGACCCGTTCTTCATCCGGAGTGGTCTTGTCGACGGCCCCGAGGCCCGGCGGCGAGGGCCCCCCCGAGGCCGCACACGGCCGAACGCCTCCCGCCCTGAGTTTCTCTCACGACGCGGTCCCTGCCTGGGAAGAGCAGCTGCCTCTTGCACGCCCGCCGCCGTGCCCGAAGCCTAAAACGACTCGAAGATCGGGGCAACATCGGATCGGGATAACTCGAAATCTCTAAGAATCGGCGGGTCTGGAGGATGCATTGGGCGCCGCGGCCGCTCCCAGAGCGTCCCGGCACGCTCCGAGAGCGCTCCGGAACACTCTGGAGCGATTTATCCCGATCCTAGCCCTGTTCTGGGGAGTCTGCCCACCACCGAGGGAGAGGTCCCGGAAGGGGGCTCGTGTCCTGGAGTCGAAGCATCTGTTGGCGGCGCGCTCAAGGGGGTAGGGGGAGGGGGGGGAGGGGGGCGGGCTGGCCGGCCCGAAGCCTCCCGGGTGCCCTCCGCGCGCGGGCGCGGGGGCGCGCGCCGGGGCTGCGCGCGGGGCCCCCCGCGGGGCGGGCCGGCATGGCCGCCCGGCTCCGGCGCCGGCCGCCGCGGCGGCCGCGGGGGGCGGCGCCGCGGCCGGGCCCGGGGGCGCCCCCGAGGAGGCTGCGGCCGGAGCCAGACCTCCCCAGACGAAGGGCAAAGATTGGTACTCGGGGCACGCGCGGGGGGAAGGCTACAGTGGGTGGCTTGAATAAGGAACACTTACTTTTCAAAAGGGGCTCGGTCGTTCCTTAGGCTTGCATGCGTTATTTGCAGTTCCTTATGCGTTATTTGTTATTTATCGTTCCTTATGCGTTATCCCTTGGGATAAAAAAAGGGCTTCGTTCCTTATTTATCGTTCCTTAGTTCAGGCCGATAACTGTACGAGCAATGACGTAAACGTCAGAAAATCGGAGGTCCGCGCGAGTTTCTCGGATCGGCGCTGAAACCCCCTTCGTGCGGTGTCGCCGCCAGCGGGGCACTCGGGGCACTCGAGGCTTCCGAGATCGGGTCGGAGTAGATGGGATCGCAGGATCGCGCCGCATCGCCGATGCAGCGCTGATGCGGCTCGATGTGCAGCCCGATTTGCTTCACGTCGACGTCGACGATGCCTCGCCGACGTCGACGATGCATCGCGGGTGCATCGCCGGTGCATCGCCGATGCATCGCCGATGCATCGCCGATGTATCGGCGATGCGGCGCGATCCTCCGACCCCATCTACTCCGACCCCATCGAAGAGGTCTCTAGGCACGCGCGGGGGGAAGGCTACGAACCATGACGTAAACATAAAAACTCGGAGGTCCGCGCGAATTGCTCGGATCGGCGCTGGAACCCCCCTGGCGGCGCAGGTTCGTGCCATGCCGACGCGGCGGCGGCCCCGGCGCGGGCGTGCGAGGTTGAACGCCGCCAGCGGGCCCAGAATCGACCAATATGGAACGATCTGGCGATCGCAAAGTTGCCGATCGTTGAAGATTGAACGATCCACGCGGTGTCTGAAGCCAACGCCGAAGTCGTCACGACACGAGCTTGCCGTGAGGCTTCGGTGTGCGCACAGACAGCCCCCCAGGTAGTCCTGGCTGGCCTCAACAGGCCCCCCGAGTAGCCCCAGTTGGCCTCAACAGGCCCCCCGAGTATTCCAGGGCGGTCTGAACACCCTGGCGCCGCTTCGGACAGCGCCCCAGGGCTCGGGTGTTGAGACCGCTCCAGACTACTCACGGGCAGCTGGGACTGCTTGGAGGGCCTGCTTGAGGTCAGCTGGGACTGCCAGGGGGGGCTGACTGCGCGCAACCCGAAGCCTTACCAGACCGAATTTCGAGGCTTGCCGAGGCTTTCGGCCTCTCTGGGGCCTCTTCGTCGCCACGGTTGTATTCGTGTCGAGTTCCGAGGCCGGGATCCCACGCCCTTTCGCGTCGTGGATCGGGGCTCAAGAGACGGGGGTCAACGCAAACGGGGGTCAGTCAGAGCGCTGGATCTTGCAGGATCCTGCAGAACCAGGGGTGCATTTGCCTGGGCTTGGGTGTAGGATCCTGCAGGATCTTCCAGGATCCTGCAAAGCCTGGCTGACCCAGGTCTGGAATGACCCGGGTCGGAAGATCCTCGAGTGGAAAAGGTCATGACGGAAGGTTTTTGGGGTAATATTTCACGGAAAGCGACTCGGAATGACAAGATTGTATTGCGAAAGGGGTCGGACGTTGGCGAGTGGATCCCTCAGATCCAGGCGTCTACATTTTTTCGTACCGTGCGTTTTCACCCCACCCACTTTCAAGCCTGGGGGCCCTCGCGGATCGAGTCGGCTCGAGAAATGCCGCGGAAAGACGGGGTCGAGGGCTTCGGTCGAAATCTTCCACGATTTTGTATTTTTGCGCGGCGTCCAATCTCAAGGTTCAGGGGATGAATTCGCAGCTCCAGAGCTCCTTCGTCACTGAATGATAGAAGCGTCGTGTTTCTCAAAGTGTTTGGCCCCATGAAGGCCTTCTTCAGGCCAAGCAAGCAAACAAGATGGCCACGCATGCTGAAGGACGCGTGGGCGGGTTTGCAAGGACACTCGTGGCTCCTGTCAGGATTCGCTGTGGAAGAACCATCGCAGTCAGACCATCTGACCTTTTTGGCGCCACCACGGGTTGGACTAAACAGCCTGGCAGGAGGAGGAGGAGGATATGCGAAGAAACTGAGAACCAGACAAATCAAAGAACCTCCCAAAAAAAAATAATTTTGTCCAATTACCTGGGCCCATGTCCCGAAAGTGAATGGCGCCCCGCAACTGCGGATAAGAGTGAGGGGGGGGCGGGGTCGTCGGCAGTTTGCGAAGCTTTGAAGAAGCCCGCCGCAGGCACCGATTTTTGCAACACGTTACATAACCAGCCCGCCGCAGGCGTCGATACTTTCGTGCAAGCAACGTGAGTGGGTCGCGCGGGCGGGTCGCAGGGTGGGTCGCGGGGTGAATCGCGGGGTGGTCGCGGGGTGGTCGTGGGTGGATCCCGGGCGGGTCGCGGGCGAGGACGACGACATTTACGCAACGCAACAACAATCCGCACCGCGAAGCCCCACTTCTTCCACGCACCCAGGGACAGTGAATGACCGTTCGGCCCACTCTCTCTGATCATGACATCGATCGGTTGTAGGGGAAGAAGAGGATTTTCAGGTTTGCTGTTTGCTTGGCCTCGGAGGCCCAGACACTCCCCCGCTCCCCCAACACTCAAAGTTGGCACGGCCGGGGAGACTGCGGTCGAAGTGCAGCTCACCAGGCCCACAATCCTCCTCCTCCTCCTCCTCCTCCTCCTCCTCCTCCTCCTCCTCCTCCTCCTCCTCCTCCTCCTCCTCCTCCTCCTCCTCCTCCTCCTCCTCCCGGACCCGATAACTGACGTTTACTACACGGCCCGTGGCGTTTCCTGAACAGCCCTGCCCCGTGCGATTCCTTCTGCGGGCGCGTTTGCGAAACGGCTTCGCGTGTCGGGCTGATTTCCTATCGGGGGGGGATTCTCTGCCCTCTACAATCAGGCGATCGCAAACATGGATCAGGGGGACGTGGATTCGCGACGGGTCCTGCTTCCATGGGGCATCGCGGATTTCCGCCGCGGAGCGAGGCGGCACCGGCCGCATTTTGGGGAGGGCGATCTCCCGCGATCCAGGGATTTGGCGGCCGCGCGCCAAGTCCCTGGATCGCGAATCCATGTTCGCACCGCCCCCGATGCAAGAGAAAGAGGCACCGGTGGCGCCCCGAGAGTGACGAGTGGCCGCGGGGCGGGAGCGGGGCGGCAGGCCGGGGGCGGCCCAGGCGAGGGCGCGCGGCGTGGAGAGGTGATCCTGGCGAGGGGCCCAAGCGTGTGCAGGTGTGGGTAGCGCCATTGTCGGTATCGTCTTCGGTGGAGCTCCCCATGGGGGCACGAAACGTGTGAGGCGTAAGCCGACATGGGCGCGGTGGCGTCATGCGAGCGCAGCCACTGGGGCCTTCGGTGGAGCTCCCCATGGGGCCACGAAGCGTGTGAGGCGTGTGCCGACATGGGTGCGGTGGTGTAATGCGAGCGCAGCCACTGGGGCCTTCGGTGGGGCTCCCTGTGGGGCCACGAAGCGTGTGAGGCGTGTGCCGACATGGGTGCGGTGGTGTAATGCGAGCGCAGCCACTGGGGCCTTCGGTGGGGCTCCCTGTGGGGCCACGAAGCGTGTGAGGGGTGTGCCGACATGGGTGCGGTGGTGTAATGCGAGCGCAGCCACTGGGGCCTTCGGTGGGGCTCCCTATGGCGATGCCACTGGGGCCTTCGGTGGGGCTCCCTATGGGGCCACGAAACGTGTGAGGGGCGTGCCGAAACAAAGACACGCGGAGGGCATAAGCGTGGAGGGGAAGGAGGCAGAAGGAGGAGGAGGAGGAGGAGGAGGAGGAGGAGGTGGAGGAGGAGGAGAGAGGAGGAACGCGGGGACCGTGTCTTCAAAACGAGGACCCAAACCACAGAGATGGTTGGGAAAAGCAAGCAAAACGACGGCAGGGGGAAACAATTCGTGGACACTCCTCCTCCTCCTCCTCCTCCTCCTCCTCCTCCTCCTCCTCCTCTCCTCCTCCCCTCCTCCTCCTCCCTCCTCCTCCTCCTCCTCCTCCTCCTCCTCCTCCTCCTCCCTCCTCCTCCTCCTCCTCCTCCTCCTCCTCCTCCTCCTCCTCCTCCTCCTCCCCCCCAAGCTCAAAGTCGGCACGCGCGGGGGAGACTGCGGCCGAAGTGCAACCCATCAGGCTCACCGCCAACTCCGAACATCGGGGGGGGGGAGGGGGAGGCGTGGACCGAGGAGTGTGCCATGCGTGTTCGCTGTTTTTTTTGCTGAGGCCTGGGGCACACAGGGCAAAAGGCTCGCGGCGGAGGTCTGGGAGGGCGCCGCAGCCAGCGCAAGGCCGAGGGGCCCGCGGCCGCCGCCGCGGCCGCCGCCGAGCTGGAGGCCGCCCTCGGCGCGTGGAGGCTGGGGCTCCGGAGGGAGATCCGGAGGGAGAAGACCATCAGGGGTGGACAGAACACCCAACAGTGACACGTCGATTAGTGAATTGTCCGTTTTCGGTTCTCGAGAGGGCGCCGTGGCCGTTATTTTCCAGGCTTGCGCCCGCCAGGTTTGGGCCTCAGGTCGTTTTCACTAAACCACGTTTTACTAAAGGGGGGTCTGTCCATCCCCGAGACCACACAGACACGCAGAAGCGTGGATTCCCAGCAAAATGCTCAGGAGGAAAGGGTACCCATGCCGCTACCCTTCGCCCGTGTTCCCCCTCCTGTTCGACGTCCTGGGCGGCCCTCGTCGCAACCGCTGGATTCGCTTCGAAATCCTGGTCAGAACGCACCCCGGGAGAGGTCCAGGGAGTAGCGGTATCGGTAATTTTTGTCCCAAAATATATGGCAAATGTGGGAAGTGGAGGGGAAGGCGATCATCCAGGAAAGATATGCAAAATGTGGGGGACCCTGGGATCTGTGTGCAAAGTTGCCGGAGCGTGTCCCTGGGCCTCTTCAGGAGAGCCTGGACGACTCGTCGACGGTCGAGGCCAGCCTCGTCAACGAGGGGCTCTTCGACGACGAGCTCAGCGAGCCCAGCCTGGAAGAAGACACCTCTGCACAGATGCAAGCTTTCGCTGGTCTGCATGGTTTGGGATCTGCGCTGGACCCCCCTGGCCGGCGCCTCTGGCGGCCCCCCTGGCGCCGCCCCTGGCGCGCTCCGCGCGCCAGGGAGAGGGCTTCAGCGCCGATCCAAAGAAAGCCGCGCAGACCTCCGAAGGTTCATGTTTATGCTGATGTCTCTTCGTCCACAGCCCCTGTCTTGCTCGGAGGTCGGTCCTGGTCGCCGGCGGCGACTCTGGCATCGGCCCGGCTCTCTGCAGGCAGCTGGCCTCCAGGCACGCCTGCCGCGTCTTCCTGGGGGCGCGCGATGGACTGAGGCCGGCCACGCGTGTAAGAGAGTGGCCTTCGCCAGCAGTGACCTCTGGTGCGGGCCCATTGAGGCCCCCGCGATCACCGATCGCCGAATGCGATGCGACAACTAGGTTTGAGCCGGGCGCGTCCCTCTACAGGAGGAATCTGCAAGAGTAGCAAAACAGATAGTCCGGTGACGATTTGTCATGCTCTCTTGACTGTCTTCGATTCCTCTTTGCCTCTTCAAGATCCGCCTGTGGGAGGGCATGCCCGGCCTAAAGCTAGGTCGCCCCAGGGGGCGCGAAGGTCGCCGGGCCTTCGCGCATCGCGGTCTGGGCCAGAGTGCTGCCCCTCGCTCCAGGCGGTCGGCGCGAGGGGGGCAGCCAGGGTGAAGGACGATCGCAGCGGCGCGGGGCGCCTGGGCCCCGCCCTTTCCCCCCGCGCCCCCCCCCGAAGCCGCGCACCAGAGGTCGCTCCGCTCGGAGGAGAAGAAGAAGAAGAAGAAAAAAAAAAAAAAAAAAAAAAAAAATCGTGGCGCAGGACCCAACCATATTCAGTTGTGAGTAACGCATTGTGGGTGCCGTTATCGGTGGGACACGACACGCGTGATGGGCGCGCCGTAATGGGTGTGGCGGACGCGTGCGGGCACCCCCACTGGGGCCTTCGGTGGAGCCCCTATGGGGCCACGAAACGCTGTGCAGGGTGTGGCGGACGCATGCGGGCACCCCCACTGGGACCTTCGGCGGAGCTCCCTATGGGCCCACGAAACGCTGTGCTGGGTGTGGCGAACGCATGCCGGCACCCCCACTGGGGCCTTCGGTGGAGCTGCCTATGGGGCCACGAAGCGCTTTGCTGGGTGTGGCGGACGCATGCGGGCACCCCCACTGGGGCCTTCGGTGGAGCTCCCCATGGGGCCACGAAACGCCGTGCTGGGTGTGGCGGACGCATGCGGGCACCCCCACTGGGGCCTTCGGTGGAGCTCCCTATGGGGCCACGAAGCGCTATGCTGGGTGTGGCGGACGCATGCGGGCACCCAAACTGGGGCCTTCGGTGGAGCTCCCTATGGGGCCACGAAGCGCTGTGCTGGGTGTGGCGGACGCATGGTGCACATACACCCCATGGGGCCTTCGGTGGAGCTCCCTATGACGAAGCGCTGTGCTGGGTGTGGCGGACGCATGCGGGCACCCCCACTGGGGCCTTCGGTGGAGCTCCCCATGGGGCCACGAAACGCCGTGCTGGGTTTGGCGGACGCATGCGGGCACCCCCACTGGAGCCTTCGGTGGAGCTCCCTATGGGACAAAAAAAACGCTGTGCTGAGTGTGGCGGACGCATGCGGGCACCCCCACTGGGGCCCTCGGTGGAGCTCCTTATGGGGCCACGAAACGCTGTGCTGGGTGTGGCGAACGCATGCGGGCACCCCCACTGGGGCCTTCGGTGGAGCTCCCTATGGGGCCACGAAACGCTGTGCTGGGTGTGGCGGGCGCATGCGGGCACCCCCACTGGGGCCTTCGGTGGAGCTCCTTATGGGGCCACGAAACGCTGTGCTGGGTGTGGCGGACGCATGCGGGCACCCCCACTGGAGCCGTCGGTTGAGCTCCCTATGGGGCCACGAAACGTGTGCTGGGTGTACCGAAAGGGGTGATGATGACGATCATGACGGTGATGGCGATGATGATGATGAGGATGGTGATGATGGCGTCGATGGTGATGATGGTGATGATGGTGATGATGATGATGATGATGATGATGATGATGATGATGATGATGATGATGATGATGATGATGATGATGATGATGATGATGATGATGATGATGATGATGATGATAATGATGGGGAGGAGGGGCGAGGAGGAGGAGTGAACGCGGGGCGCTGTCTCTTCAAAACGAGGACCTAACACCACAGGATGGTTGGGAATAAGAAGAAGAAGAAAAAAAAATAGCACTGGCATAAACTCTTGGCACTCCGCGCGTGTTTCTTGGATCCGCGCTGTGCTCTCTCGGCGGCGCCTCCGGCGCCGCCCCTGGCGCGCTCCGCGAGCCCGGGAGGGGGCGCCAGCACAGAGCCAAGAGACACCCGCGGGGAGCGCCAAGAGTTTATGGGTCTGCCGCTTGTGCTTCTTCTGTCCCTGGCTGCAGCAGCGACGCCGACACGAGGGCCACAGTCGGACCGAGGTAGAAGAATCGAGGTCGGCTCGGGGAGGGAACCCCGCTGCTCCTCGTGCTGGCGGGCTGCTCCTGTGCGCCCTGGGATGCTCTTTGCGGCGTTTCTCTTCCTCGACGGGCGAGAGGAGGAGGAGGAGGAGGAGGAGGAGGAGGATGGGGATGTTCTGTGGGATGTTTTTGTGCGCCCTGGGCACCCTTGGATGTTCTGTGTGTGTTGGCCGGCGGAGGGTCTCATGTCCTTGAGGGGTGCTCTTCTGGCATGGCTCCGATTGCAACGTCGACCCCCCAGAGTTCTCGACCCACCCTTCGGGACCAGCGTTTCGGACCGCGTCGTGCCTTTCGACGGCCCCCCGGGCCAGGAGAGGGCCCCCCGAGGCCCAAAGCGACGGTGCAGAGCATTCCGTCGCGATGCTGCTTCCCAGCCCGAGGGGGCCTCGGGCCCTTCGGGGCCGCTCCTCGTGGCAGCACGGCGGCGGCGGCAGGGGCCACTCTCTTGGGGCGCGCGGCCGCACGAGGGGCCAGGCGGTCCTCGCGGCCATGCTGGCGGAGGAGCCCGCGTGCGCGGGGCGCGTGCAGGTCGTGCGGCTGGACCCCAGGAGCCTGGAGGTCCGTCTCGGCCCGATCGGGAAGGAGGTGGAGGATGAGGAGGAGGAAGAGGAGGAGGAGGAGGAGGAGGAGGATGAGGAGGAGGAGGAGGAGAGGGAGCTAGGAGGAGGAGGAGGAGGAGGAGGAGGAGGGAGGAGGAGGGAGAAGGTGGAGGAGGAGGAGGGAGGAGATGGAGAAGGGAGGAGGTGGAGGGGGAGGAGGAGGAGGGAGCAGGGAGGAGGAGGAGGAGAGGAGGAAGGAGGATGAGAGGAGCAGGGAGGAGGAGGAGGAGGAGGACCCCCTGCCCCCCCTACTTCTTACTCGTGGTGGCGGCGGTGGAAGGCAAAGCCCACCGCAGGAGCACGGCCTCCGTGCTGGCCGCCGCGCGGGCCGTGCGGCGCGCGCTCGGCGCGGGCGCGGCGCTGGGCGCCCTGGTCAGCAACGCGGAGCCCCCGCAGACCCGCGGCCTCACCGCGCAGGCGCCGCGCGCCGCGGGGAGGGCCGCGGCTCTCCTCCTCCTCCTCCTCCTCCTCCTCCTCCTCCTCCTCCCTCCTCCTCCTCCTCCTCCTCCTCCTCCTCCTCCTCCTTCCTCCTCTCCTCCTCCTCCTCCTCCTCCTCCTCCCTCCTCCTCCCTCCTCCGATCCTCCTCCTCCTCCTTCCTCCTCCTCCTCCCTCCTCCTCCTCCTCCTCCTCCTCCTCCTCCTCCTCCTCCTCCTCCTCCTCCTCCTCCTCCTCCTCCTCTTCTCGCCCGTCGAGGAAGAGAAACGCCGCAAAGAGCATCCCAGGGCGCACAGGAGCAGCCCGCCAGCACGAGGAGCAGCGGGGTTCCCTCCCCGAGCCCGACCTCGATTCTTCCACCTCGGTCCGGCTGTGGTCCTCCTGTCGGCGTCTTTGCTGCAGCTAAAGAAGGAGAAACGGCATAGACATAAACTCTTGGCGCTCCGCGCGGGTTTCTTGGATCCGCGCTGGGCCCCCCACCCCCCACCGGCCGGAGGCGCCTCCGGAGCCGCCCCTGGCGCGCTCCGCGCGCAAGAGAGAGGGGCGCCGCGCAGATACAAGAAATCCGCGCGGAGCGCTGAAAATTTATGTTTATGTAGTTTTTCTTCTTCTAGAGGGATCGGGCTCGCCCGGGTATCTGGCAGGGTTCTCGCTCCTGGAGTCGGCTGGGGGTCCGAGTCAGGAAGACGGTTATTGGGTTGGGAGGATGGGGCTGGAAGATCCTTACCCGCAGTCGGCTGAAGGTATTGTTCATTGCATCCGGATGCTATTGCTCATGCCCTTCATAAATCTTCCCAAACCATTTCTCCCAAGGCAGTAATTGTTCTCCTCAGGCGGGGTTCTCGCTCTTGGAGTCGGCTGGGGATCTGAGGTGGCCCAGCACCGGTTCCAGCCAGCAGGAAAGAGTGGGGCAGGCTAAAGGTTCTGGGTGTTCGGGAAGGTCTCTTTTGCCGTCTTCGGTTCCCAGAGGCCGCCTTTGGGCCCCTGGGGCCGCAGAAAAATTATCCCGGCGAAGCAACCTAACAGCGATGTGTAGGAGCATATCTGGAAGCATTCCCCTTAAGATTCAGATGAGAATCCAGTTGTAGAATTCTGCTGTCCTCGCAGTCGTAGTCACATTCGCGATGATAGTCGCAGTGGCAACGGCAGACGCAGTCACAGCCTCAGCCTCAGCCTGCATCAGCTTCAGCCTCAGCCTGCCTCAGCCTCAGCCTGCCTCAGCCTCAGCCTCAGCCTGCTTCAGCCTCAGCATCAGTCTGCCTTCAGCCTCGGCCTCAGCCTCAGCCTGCCTCAGCCTCACCCTGCATCAGCCTCAGCCTCAGCCTCAGCCTCAGCCTCAGCATGCCTCAGCCTCAGCCTCAGCCTGCCTCTGCCTCAGCCTCAGCCTGCTTCAGCCTCCGCCTCAGTCTGCCGTCGGCCTCGGCCTCAGCCTCAGCCTCAGCCTCAGCCTCAGCCTGCAGCCTCAGCCTCAGCCTCAGCCTCAGCCTCAGCCTCAGCCTCAGCCTCAGCCTCAGCCTGCAGCCTCAGCCTGCAGCCTCAGCCTGCCTCAGCCTCAGCCTCAGCCAGCCTGCAGCCTCAGCCTCAGCCTCAGCCTCTGCCTCAGCCTCAGCCTCAGCCTCAGCCTCAGCCTCAGCCTCAGCCTCAGCCTCAGCCTCAGCCTCAGCCTCAGCCTCAGCCTCAGCCTCAGCCTCAGCCTCAGCCTGCCTCAGCCTCAGCCTCAGCCTCAGCCTGCAGCCTCAGCCTCAGTCTGCCTTCAGCCTCGGCCTCAGCCTCAGCCTGCCTCAGCCTCAGCCTGCATCAGCCTCAGCCTCAGCCTCAGCCTGCCTCAGCATCAGCCTGCCTCAGCCTCAGCCTCAGCCTGCCTCAGCCTCAGCCTCAGCCTGCCTTCAGCCTCAGCCTCAGTCTGCCTTCAGCCTCGGCCTCAGCCTCAGCCTGCCTCAGCCTCAGCCTCAGCCTCAGCCTGCCTCAGCATTCAAAATGTGGCCCAGGAATGGAGTTCTGGGAACTCGAAGAACACGGTGCCCAGGAATGGAGTTCTGGGAACTCGAACACGAAGTGGCCTACTGTTGGCTCCGGGCATTCAAAATCATGCCCAGGAATGGAATTCTGGGAATTCGAAGACCACGAAGTGGCCTACAGTTGGCTCCGGGCATTCAAAATCATGCCCAGGAATGGAGTTGTGGGAATTCGAAGAACACGAAGTGGCCTACAGTTGGCTCCGGGCATTCAAAATCATGCCCAGGAATGGAGTTCTGGGAACTCGAAGACCACGAAGTGCGTTTCTGTTGACTAAAAACGGAGTCCCCGGTTTTCCGGGGCAACCCGTCCGGATCCCGCCCAGACCCCTTTGGGGCGTCAAGATGTTCTCTTTTGACCCCACTAGAAACCTATCAGTCTTCGCTGTTAGGTAACAATTCCAGGATGAAACATTGCACCAGATGGGCACCAGATGGGCCCCAGTAGTCTAGGCCTCCTAGATAGGGTCCGAGAAGATGGGGTCAGAGGATCGCGCCGCATCGCCTCGCCGATGCATCGCCGATGCGGCTCGATGCGGAGCCCGATGTTCTTCACGCGGAAGCTGCCGAGACATCGCCGACGTCGCCGACGCATCGCCAGTGCATCGCCGATGCATCGCCGATGTATCGGCGATGCGGCCGGATCCGCCGGCCCCACCTATTCCGACCCCGTCTACTTGGCATCGCTCGGACGTGTGATTTGTTCCTTCGGCGAGGACCATCGAGGAGCATCCTTGATCATTTGGCGAAGAAACCACGCACGAAACCGAAAAAAGCACAGGAAATGGACGTCCGAGCGATGGCCAGTCTAGGAGGCCTCTAGGTAGGGGTCGGGGGACCAATTTTGAGCGGATTTGACCTCGCCCCCCCGTCTTGACATCTGTTAGCCGGGGCCCATCCAGCTCAGACCCCCCCCGGCCGCCTCCAAGCCCAGGCGTCCGCGCGGTGCTATAGCTCTCTCTTTTTCCAGTCCGGGCATGCTCCTTCCGCTCGGGCTCCTGGGGCCGCTGCTGGTCCCGGGGCCATCGAGCACGAGAATCGGGCCGAGCGAAAGGGGGGGGACAGGGAAAGGGGGGGGGTACGAAATCTGCTGCATGCCGCTGGTTTCGGCCCCGCCGCCGGGCCCACTCCTCGATACACGGGCGCCTCCCGGCGCCAGGAGAATCGGCTGCGTGAGCCGATTCTCCCCCCCCCCCCTCCTTTGCTATCCCCCCCTTTCGCCCGGCCCGAGAGAAGGTGACATCCCAGGATGTCTGGGAAGGGTGCCTCTTTTCTTCCCCGGCGTAGGCTGGCGGGAGGCCGGTGGAAGCCGGCGAAAGTGAAACGGCGGCTGCTCCGCCAGCGGACGGCCAGTGGAAGCCGGCGAAGGGGTGACCCAAGGCGGGGTTGGGGAGCGAGCCCAGCTGGAGGCTCTCATGTCCTTCTCCCTGGGGCCGTTCAGATCGATGTCCTTTTTTAACCCGCCCTTGGGCCAGAACTACCCCATGCATGACCCCCCGACAAGAGAGATCAGCAGGTTGGGATTCAGGGCTTTGCAGCCGGCCAGGTGCTGGTCTCGAGGAGCCTTTACTTGTGCGAGGCGTTCATTCCTCTGCTGGACCCCGTCGAGGGGCGAGTGGTCACCGTCGGGACCAGCGTTCGCCCGGCGTTCAGCAGAAGCTGCGATTCGGACAGGAAGCAGATCTTGACCTCCTCCGAGACGACGTGGGAGGAGGCCTGCCCGAGGGTGGTCGCGGTTCGGTCGGTTCGGCTGCGTCGCAGCCGATTATTTTCGGTCGGTTTGGTGTTGTGACAGAACCCAACCGTTTGCAGCTACTCCAGCGCTCTGTAAACAGCTATTCCAGCGTTTGCAAACAGCTATTACAGCGTTTACAAACAACAGCAGCGGGAGTTTGTGCGTTTGGTTTCACAGAAACCCCGCGTGCAGGGGAGGCCCAGAAGAACAGCCCTTAAAGCTCTCATGTCCTTCCTAAGTTCTGTCGGTTGTTGTGTCGTTGCTGCGTCGCTGCGCCATTCAAGGACGTCTGCGGCCCGTCGGTTTCGGTCGGTTTCGGTTTCGCCGTCGGTTCGGTCGGTGTTTGCGTTCGCCGTCGCCGTGGACGGCCTCGCTGCCGTGGCGGACGCGCTGCTCGATTTCTAGTGGGTCCAGGGAGGGGGGCTTGTTCGCCGCGTTCGGACGCGGCTCGAAAGTCTGGTCAGGATGGAGGCGGCTCTCGCTCGCTTGGCCTCTGCGCTGGGATCTCCCCACTCAGCACTCCAAGGGGGGCCTTCCCCGTTTCCGGAGTAGTTGGCCGGTCTGCCGCGTGCCCACCTTCTCGTGCCCCCGCTCCGTGCGCTGGCTGAGTGTTCCGGGGTTCTCGCCCAGTGCCCGTGTCGTGGCTCGCGCTTCAGGGCGCACACCTTGCTAGCAACACGCAGATGTCCTCCTCTCAAAATGAGGATAACAGATTCTACCCGCCTCCCGAGCCCAGACTCATCGTTGTGGAGGACGATCAATGGAGAGGAAGCATGCTGCCAAATAATTGCCAGATGTCTACAAAATGTTTCAAACATGTTTTACATATTTCAAACACATATCTAATTAAACGATAGGACTGTTAGGGTGTCCAGTGTCGTGGCATCCACAAACTTATCGACACGCCCTGGGGCATTGCAGATAATTTTTCTCGTCGTACATGTTCCATGCGAAGTAGTACCATCCCAGGCCACCCGTGATCGCCCCCCCTTCATCCTTCATACAATTCTCGCACGCTCGCCTACCTCAGAAGATCTTTTTTGCATGATCCAGCGAAAAGTTGGCACGAAGTCCACACGTGAGCGCAGATATTGAAATCACACCTAGCGCACTAGTTACGCAAGCACCCCAACATAAAAGCAGCAAAACCACGCAGGCTGTGCATCACCAAGCTTGCAGAGTGCCTGCCCGCGCCGGTTGCTGAACTCGTGGGAACACCATATAGATAGCAATCTCGTCCAGAACCCAGTTTATCATCTCACCGCGCAATGAATCCGCATTGATCCAGCATGCGCCCAGCGCACGAACCCGAATCAAATAATAAAATATAAGCCGCACGCGCGCGCCGCCACGTGGGCGTGTCGAACCAGTCCACAATCATTGGTTTCCAAAGCATTTCGAGCAGTCCGCTGTTCAAAGATTTGACAAACAAAAAACAACGCTGCTCAACAAAAAGCCTGCCGGGTGTTTGGCATTTTTGCGCGCCCGCACGTCCGCACCACACCTCCATCAGCGCCGCCGCATCACGCCACTCGTCGTCGCTGACGCCATCATCACTCAAGCACCTGCATCACCGACATGTGGACATCATCGTCGTCGTCGTTGTCAACAGCATCGGTGCCGTCATTGGCCCTGCCGTCGACATCGTCACCATCAGAATCACCATCGCTACTACCATCATCGTTGCGTCGTTGTCGACGTCATCATGGTACCGCGCCCGCCCGAGTCACCGACCCGCAGTGAAGTGCTTCCGCGCCAGCACGGCCTTTGAGACGCGCTGGGAAGTTGCCTTCGGTAAGCGCCATCGCGGCCGCATCGGCTGTGCCATACCAGCTGGTCGCTCTGCGCATGAGCTTGCGCGAACTAGCGTAATCGCAGAGGTGCGCCAGCCATCGGCAAGAAGTCACCGCAATTGCGGCCGCATGGGTTTCGCAAAACTTGTTGCGGGCGGGAGAGTGGGCTGATTGCGCGAGCTGTGGGGTTCGCAATTCGCCAGTGAACATGTCAGTTGATTTTCCATTCTGCCACTCTAAAAGAGTAATAGGATCTCCCCCCTCCCCCGGATTTAACGACCCCCTTTCGCGCATTGCAATACACATACGATTCTGCCCTATCGTATATCATCCCAGCTAAACCAGCCCCCCCCACCTTCATCCTTTTTACCAAAAAACAGTATGCGAGATCATTCGTTTATCGAAAATTATTCGTTTTCAAGGCAGTGTGCAAACAACAAGACGAAGTCTACACGCGCGCGTCCTCGCGTGCGCATGCCGAAATCATTCAACAACTTCCTATGTCGTAAGGCTGTCAAAAAAAGAGTGTCCCGAGCACATTTACAACACATGGTTACCCAACAAGGGTTTTCAACAACAACAAAAGAAACAACATTGCGCCCGCGCTCTTTTCGGATGCTTAAGAAAACATGTTTCGACATGTTCACAACATGCTACCAAAAGAGCCTCTCGCGCGCGCATGTCGACATCGTTCGAAAGCCCTTGCGCGCGTGTAGTGGCAAGAACCCCTTGCAAAAAAACCGGGGCGAAGTGCACACGCTTACGAACCCATCGGTTTACAACAGTGTAATTACATGTTGCCAAACGGGAATTTCGCGCCGCATGCTAAAATCATTCGAACGCCGTTGCGCGCATGCGGGGGGGGGGGGGGGCACGATCCGTGTCAAATAACACCATGCGGGCCACTTTCGCGCGTCGGCCGCGCATGTCGAACTCCTCCCAAAACCTTCATGACCGATGCGCGAACGCCGTCATCGTCGTCGGCGTGATCAGCATCGGCGCCGTCGCTGGCCGTGCCGTCGTCGCTGTCACCATCGCCACCAGCATCGCTACTGTCATCATTGCGTCTACCATTCGTCGACGTTGCCATGTAACCGCGCCCGCCAAAGTTGCCGACTCGCACTGAAGTGCCCGCCGGGAAGCGCCCAGCTGTTAGCGCCACCGCGGCCGCGTCGGTCGCGCCGAACTAACTGGCCATTTTGCGCGCCAGCCTGCGCGCTAGCGCGGCCACGGCGATGCGCCAGCCAGCGCCGAGCAGTCGTCGCAATTGCCGCCGCATGGGTTTTGCAATCCAATTTGCGGGTGGGTGGGTGGGATGATTGCGCGAACAGTAGAGTTGACAACTTCAAGTCCTGCAGGCGAATTGCACCACATAGGTGATAACATATCGACCGGGCCACATTGATTCCACCGCACTGCATGCACCGCATAGGGTGCACCCCGCAGCTTGCAGCAAGTAGCTCGTATCGCATAGTTTTACACCACACAAATTGCACCCGAGATGTTGCACCTTACAGCTTGCGCGCCAGAAATAGTTTGCACTAGCACGCCATGCTGCTTGTACCACACGGATCGCACCACGCAGACAGGCTGCACCACACAGAGTCACATTGAGAGTGCAAGAATCCAGCGCGCGGGGCTGACGTGGGCAAATTTCGGGGGTGCCCTCAGCGGCAGCTCCCATCACCGCACCTGGTCGCGGCTCGAGGATCTGGCCACGACGTCATCGTCGTCGTCGTCGTCATTCTCGTCGTTGTCATTATCGTCCTGTTCCCCCTCTTCCTCCTTTTCTTCCTCCTCCGTCCAAACCTGAAAGTATGAAAGCCGAAGGCACGAATGTTCTCGAACGTTGACCCCCCCAGGGCCGGTCGGCCATGGGGGGTGATCAAATTAAGAGCCGGTTCGACATGAGTTGTTTCTCGGATTGTTGCAGGAAGGCGTTGGTGGTCATTTGCAGTTCGTCGTGTTCCGCGTGGTGGCGTAGCTTTCGTAGTCCTGTGTAGATGATGTTTGTCCGCGGTGCCGGGTCTTGCTTGGCGTGTTTTGCAGTGATGGTGGGAATCGTGACTTCGGTGAGCTGGTATGCGAGCTTGGCCGTCTGGATACGGACATTGGGAGGGTTGGGCGCGTCCTTCCATGCTCGGTGTGGTCTGAAATTGTCGCCTTACTCGAAGCAGTGCGAATGTGATGTCGGTGATGTCTGGTTTGCGTACTCGTACCGCCTCTTGCTTGCAGGTTTTCTCCGTGGCCGCCTTGACCTTCTTGCTGAGGTGGAGGGCGTGGCCGCTGATGTCGTACTCCCAAGGGTACAGGTCGATATTGTTCAGCTCGTCTTTGAACGTATTCTGGTGCGTTGGGTTGGCGATCAGCCTCGGGTCAAGCCGTGGCACGGCGTGCTAAGTGTGGGAAATGGCCACGTAGGTTTGCTGCATCATGACGGGCGGGTGATCTTCGTCTTCCTGGACCATGTCGATGTTGCTTATGTTCGCGACGTCCTTCACAGTGTCCATGTTGCAGGTCGATATGACGATGTAGTCGATGCGTTCAATATTGCTGCATTTTTTGTAGGTGCACAGTGGTCCTTTGCACTACACCGCTGTGTTGACGTCTGAAGGTAGCCACGTACTGGCGGAAGTTTTGTCGAGTCTCTCGCTGTAGTGTCCGACGGAGTCCGAGACGATAGCCCCAGTTGTTGCATTGGCGTCAATCAAGAGGAAGTCGATGCTGAGCTTCAGCGTCATGTTGCTGAGGTCCGTGCAGAAAGCGTCGGTCGTTTCGTCACCTGAGTGGCCGTGAGTGGCATGTGCGACTGCCACCGTCCTACGCAGCCAGGGTACAGTGATTCGCACGTGGGGCATCCACGGGCTCTGGTGCAGTACCTTCGTGTGGGTGGGCCGCATGTAGCGTTTGGCTCAGTTTTTCAGCGTAGTGCAGGTCAACGTTGACAAACAGGGGGCATCCCAAGTTGTAGTTGTCGTGCCCGCTGGAGATGACGTGGGATCCGTGCATCTTTCACGTTCCTCTCGGTAGTCTGGCCTCCTGCAGACCTACGAGGTGAACCTTCATGTCCTTCATGTGGTGGTTGATAACCTCGATCCTTGCGAGCTTGCGCTGCTGCTCCATCCCGGTGTGAGTAGGCTCCTTGAAGCTCCTCACGTTGAAGGTGATCATCTTGAGGTCGAGTTT